CTTTGGTGAATTCCTGGCAATGACAACTGCAGTTATGGCCCAAAAAACCAGTTATAAGTACTGAACTAACCCCATTTATAGAGTGTATACCCCCATTTATAACCAGTTACCCATAGGATCATATATGGTAACATTTAGCATCAATATACCCCAAATGTTAGCATATATATACCATACATGGATCCTATGGGTTATAACTCATTTTTACGGCCATAACTGTGGAGGACCTCTTTTCACTTGACTCAGCCGGTGATTTTCTCAACATTTCGGAGCTGACTCAGCAGCCCCAGAAACCATGGTAGATGTCGGGGAAGACATCACATGCGAATCCCTCACTAGACGACGGATGGCCCGAGAGCGTAGAGGAGCAGAGTCTTCTTCTGCTGTTAGTATGGCGACACTATATTACAAGACAATATATTAAAGATGTATTACAGGCAGACGAGAAGAGTAGTATCAAGACAATATTATATGGCATCGTATCTTTTGCATCGTATCTTTCAAAAAGTTTTTCACGCACAGAACTTTTTACACACAGACGCTTTTGCACACAGACGCTTTTACACACAGACGCTTTTACACACAGACGCTTTTACACACACAAACACTTTTACACACAGACATACACAGACGCTTTTACACAGAAGCTTTTACACACAGACGTTTTTACACACAGACGCTTTTACACACACACAAACACTTTTACACACAAAGACTTTTACACACAGACGCTTTTACACACAGACGCTTTTACACACAGACGCTTTTACACACAGACGCTTTTACACGCAAACACTTTTACACACAGACGCTTTTCCACACAGAGACTTTTACACAAAGACGCTATTACACACAGACGCTTTTACACACAGACGCTTTTACACACATCGCAATTTTACTTCAGTTTTTGGCGATCCAACCTCATTTCGTGCGAAAGGGGCGTGCGAAAGGGTCGCGCGGGACAAGTTGAAATCGCAATTTTACCTCAGTTTTTGCCGATCGAACCTCATTTCGTGCGAAAGGGTTCACCGGAAACACGAAATCGCAATTTTACCTCAGTTTTTGGCGATCGAACCTCATTTCGTGCGAAAGGGTTGCGCGGGACAAGTTGAAATCGCAATTTTACCTCAGTTTTTGACGATCGAACCTCATTTCGTGCGAAAGGGTTGCGCCGGACAAGTTGAAATCGCAATTTTACCTCAGTTTTTGGCGATCGAACCTCATTTCGTGCGAAAGGGTTGCGCGGGACAAGTTGAAATCGCAATTTTACCTCAGTTTTTGCCGATCGAACCTCATTTCGTGCGAAAGGGTTGCGCCGGACAAGTTGAAATCGCAATTTTACCTCAGTTTTTGACGATCGAACCTCATTTCGTGCGAAAGGGTTGCGCGGGACAAGTTGAAATCGCAATTTTACCTCAGTTTTTGGCGATCGAACCTCATTTCGTGCGAAAGGGTTGCGCCGGACAAGTTGAAATCGCAATTTTACATCAGTTTTTGGCGATCGAACCTCATTTCGTGCGAAAGGGTTGCGCGGGACAAGTTGAAATCGCAATTTTACCTCAGTTTTTGACGATCGAACCTCATTTCGTGCGAAAGGGTTGCGTTTCGTGCCGTCTCGTTGGCACTGCCCCTGCTCCCGCCTTCAAGAGAGAAATAGAAAAGAAGGAGAGGGCAAGAGGGCAAGAGGAGAAGGTGTGAGATGAGATGTAAAGATGAGAAGATGTGAGAAGATGTGAGAAGATGTGAGAAGATGTGAAGATGTGAAGATGAGAAGATGTGAAGATGAGAGGATGTGAAGATGAGAGGATGTGAAGATGAGAAGATGTGAAGATGAGAAGATGTGAAGATGAGAGGATGTGAAGATGAGAAGATGTTTTACAGACCCCCACTATTGGAAGAACCCTGCGCTCAGACGCTCTCGGGAAAAAAAGTGGGGATTGGTCGTTTGTTACCTATGAAACTACCATATTGATCCATATTGCAGGAATAAACATTCAGCTATACCAGCTACTATTGTAGGGTATAGCTGAAGGGCATCAGGGTTATGACTCATAGCCAATTCACCAATCTGCTAACTTCTGGCTCATCAACGAAAGGGAAAGTCGATGTTTCCGTCTTTCTTGGGTCAACCACCCACCTCATCACGTGAGACTTTTGACCATGCGGCATACACACGGATCCCAAATGAATGGGCGAAGATAGTTGGGTCCTCGTTTGAAGGGTCAAGAAATCAAACCCTGATATTGTTATGATAGATGTGCCATGGTCAAGTGAGAGAGATTTCACCATCGAGGGTGATTCCTGAATCACTGAATGGGACATTCAAGGGAATAGAATGGGATCTATAACCAAATATAACCAAACAACAATCAAATGTTGGATGATATATCATGGAGCATCCATGTTGGAGGATGGTCATCAATCCCTAAATAGAGATTTTTTGCCCATTGCATGGAATCCCTTTCTTATAATGGGATAACCAAAACCCATTAATCCCATCTTTTGACCATGGCTCGCATGATGTTTTCCATCTGAAGGCTATAAGAATGCTACCAGCCACTAACTCTGAAGCCACTAATGGTAGTGATTGGCAATTGAAAATCAATATCTTCAAGTAATCAACTACCATTTTCTACCTGTTGAATGCTAGTTCTAGCAATTTTTCGTGGTAGTTTTTTCACGGTGGAAAATCACCATTTTTTCACAGCTAGATGATCGAAATGGGCCACGATATGCCACGATGGGCGCTTCGCACACTGTGAATGTATACTGGTCGTCAATGGTTGTCACACGAGGCCACTAGATATGGTTAATAATGGTTAATATATGGTTAATATATGGTTATTATATGGATAATGATGGTTAATAATAATCTGGTTGGTGGTTGACCTACCGCTCTGAAAAATGATGGAGTAAAAGTCAGTTGGGATGATGAAATTCCCAATATATGGAAAAATAAAAGTCATGTTCCAAACCACCAACCAGATACTATTGCCACTCATCTATCCTCACAGTTTTTGTTGTCGTATCACTCACATCTCATGAAACAATCGCAATACTCTCTGGTAATTTCATGTGGCGACGGAAAATGCCCCCTTTGATAGGTCAATAATCTATAAACACAGTCATTTTCATATATTTATCCATAGCTTATAGCTTTCTTAAAATTATGAGAGGGTACCCTCCTGTAGACTATAGATGTGGAAAACCCACCATTTTTAGATGATTTCCCTAGGTAACCCATCATTTCTTTTCCGCAACTTTTTCTCTGTTTGGGGTATCAACGATGAAAGTTTCACATCATCCATGGCTTTTCCTTATCCCCCACGTCACAGTGTGGTGCCCCCCAGTGATGTGAACGTTGGTGAACATAAGCCCCATGAAAAGTAGTTCGGTATATCTACCATAAAGCCTCCCGTGAAATTGAAGTTCTGTGAACCCCAACTGAACGCGTTCACGAACTGGCAGACTGGGGCACTGTCTTTTGCAGGTCTTTCTACCAACCCACTGTCTCCAAAGCCCTGTGAATTTTCTGCCTTTTCATGCTCTACTGGATCATCGATCTCGTCCAGAAGCGTCTCCTCCCAGTGAGACCCCAGAAAAAAATCATATGGCCGTGGATGGCTTGGACAAACCCCCAGTTATGGCATTTTGAATACAGAAAAAATGTGATAAACCATTTGGGCACATCCTATTTTCAGACAAACCCATATCAGTGATACGAGCAGAGATGAGAGGCGTAACCAGTGACCAAGAAACATGGTTCTTACCAAACGTACCCAAAATACTAACAACTCAGGTCCATTTGAATTTTTGGGGAAGTTTGAAGTTGGCTAATTTGATTTTTAACTGATCCCCTTAAAACAACAATTTAAACATGAAGGTCCCATTTGAGGGGTGCAAATAATAAAAACTAATCAACACCAGGGTGTTTTTTATATTACGGTCCGTCCTTTACAATCGAACAATTTTATTTTGATTGATTCAGGTTTTTAATTCAATAGGGGAACCATCGAAATCCAGCTTTTGGTAATATTTTAATATGGATTTTGAAAAGAAATTTAATCAATTCTAAAATCGAAAAACTAGTTTTTCCAAAAAGCAAATTAAGGTATTAATTTAATATGAGTGGGAAGCTTCGCGCCAAAATATTTAAATGCCTCCTAAAACTAAAAATCCTAAAACGGTGTTTATCCTTATGGGGGAGCGGTTGAGTTTTTTCGGGGGAAAAGATTCTACCCCCCCAAAAAATGGCATTTGTACCCTCTGGTAAACGTTTACATAGCGAACTGGAAAATCACCATTTTCAGTGGGTAAATCCACTATAAATGGCAATTTTCAATAGCTATGTTAAATTACCAGAGGGTAAACTAAACATCGATAAACCCATGAAATTTGGCGACATCCTATTTTCAGACAAATCCATATAAGTGATATGAGCAGAGATGTTAGGTGAAACCAACAAACATGGTGCGAACATGAAAAACATGGCTTCCTCTTGGCAATGTCTTGCTGAGGCACCGAGGCACCTTGATGGAGAAGCTTCAGATTTGCGGCCCCTCCTTGGCATCGACCTGCCAGACCCCTGGGGTGTACGGCTCGAAGCCGGCGACAGCGGCGACGGTCGAGGTGACCGGTGACCCAGGTGACCGGTGCTCAAAGCATTGTCTCTTGGCAGGCGCATCAAATGACTCCCTTCGCGACAGTCTTCAGCCTACACTGGGGGGACGAAAACCCAAACTTCAGGCATTTGAAGCCACAGCCGTGGTTAACCTTGCGTCAACTTAGCTATCGAAAACGGGGTCCCACCTTGTAAATATAGATGTATGTCCCATCATCTCCCATCATCTCCCACTATGTTCCCATTATAGCCCCCTTAAATATCCCATTATCAGTCAACTTAGCTATCATAAATCACATATCAACCCTCTTATTGTAGCTATCATACTATATAATCCAATTTACCACCATCATATCCACAATGAATCAGGGTTCCAATG